TTTAAATGTACAAGTAGGAAAGCCTTAATATGAATAATTCACTTGTTTAGAGAGAAAAATGTATATACTTTTTGAGTAAAGTAGTAATATGTTGGATGAGTGTGTTGAGGGAAATTCGCCCCCACTTACTGTTGTTGTTATTTTCCTCCAGTAATTTCCAATTGATCAATGACCAGTGTGCATTGTACAGAAAAAAAGTTTGTTTGGGACACACTTAAATAAAGTGAGTAAAGAAAATGACAACAGAGCATAGAGACATGTCTATGATGATTCTGAGGTGTCCTCTATTGAACCTGAAGATAATTGTGTTCAGTTGGTGCAGAGACGAAGATGTGAGGTGAAACAATATCACTTGGGCCTTGTGGTTTCGAACTGCTCCTCCAATCCGATGTCACTTCCTGTGGTTGTTGACAAGTGCTATGTTCCATTTGTATTATCTACGTATCTGTCCTTCCTCCCAAAGTGTTAACTTGTTCGCTTCCCTTCAATGATTTGAAATAAATATGGTAGCATGTGACCTAGCGGTTAAGAGCTTACTGGTCCCCCGTGGGAATCGAACCCACAACCAACTGAGCTACACGGGACCACACTACTGTGCTTTGTAACATCAGAGGTTGAATTGGAGATTGTCAGAGTATGTTTACACAATAATCAATAATTCAAAGGCATTGGAAAAATATAGCCTACCAAGACACTCATGTTGGAGATTAGATTAGGTCGCCCACTTTACTGGAAACTTGTATCTGTCACTGATCAAACAACATAAATGCCACAACCATCGTCTCCATTAGCAAGTGTTGATGTGTGACAAAAACATCCTGCTGCATGTAGCTAACAAACTGTCAATACTGTAACCGACAAAGTTAATCAGATTGAATCCCGGCCTTATTGTTTTATATTGAATACCCACTAAAGAGAGTATTCTCTTATCTTATTCAATACAGTAAATTAATCAGGTTCACCGATCAAGGCACCAAGTACATTTTCACAGTGGAAAGCTTATGTGCCAGTTACCACAATTGATCAACAATTACATTGCTTGTTGTAATTCAGTGAAGCAGCACTGTGGAGGCTATCTAGCTTTTTATTAGTTTATTATTTTTACTCGTCTTTGTATTTCGTTTTTTGGATGAAAGTGAAAATTGTGTGATTAATTTCTGTTAAATAAAGTGTTATAGATGTTATTTTTTGTATTTCAAAATATTGAAATAAAATGTAAGATTTGAACATATTGTTAAAGGGCCTTGTTTGGGTAGTGTAGCGAAAATAATGAAATTAATAAGACATTTCGGTAGCACTTTACCTTAAAGCACAATATAAATGGGTACTAATATGATAATAATGTGGAAACTTACTTTAAGTCTACTGTATTTGATAACCATATTAATTTCCTGGTAAAATATACCTGATTTCATTTAATTTCTGTCTAATTTGATTGTTTCAAGGTAAAAAGTAGCCTATACATAAACAGAAGTATGAAGAGCTTGTTTTGCCATAGGCCTACAATTCTACAAATGCAAGAACAATAAGTGTCCAGGAACACACGCAGGAGGTAACTCTGGTGGATGTCCTCCTCGGGTTGGGGGCAAATTACGAAGGAGGAGGCCGTCCGGTACCGGAAGGCTATGAAGGGGGAGACCCAGGCAGGAGAGGAGAAGCGGCGTCAACCGGGCCGTGGTCGGACAGGCGAGAGGCACCCCCAATAATTTTTTAGGGGGGGGGGCACACGGCATGGGCGACGGGGCAGCAGGAGGCTGCCACAGGTTGTATTGGGAGATTAGGAGAGGAGGCCACCGGGTTTGGGGGGCCAGAAGGCAGGTTGGCGGAGCCTGGATGGAGAGCGGAGCCAACTCCCCGTGCTCAGGCATGGCAGCATGAGACTGGGCAGGTTCCGGGGTATGCGGAGCTGCGTACTGTGCCACGAGTGGTCCGGCATAGTCCGGTACGTCCTGTGCGAGCACCCCGCACGTGTCGTGCGAAGGTGGGCATGCAGCCAGGACGGAGTGTGCCGGCTCAGCGCTCGTGGCCTCCAGTGCCTCTCCTCGGTCCCGGATATCCTGCGCCAGTGTCACGTGCTGTTATGCCAGTACGGGTACACAGCCCTGTACGTCCTGTGCTGATGCCTCACACAGAGTGTGTGAAGGTAGTCATTCAGCCAGGACGGGTTGTGGCAGCTCTTCACTCCAGGCCTCCTATCCGTCTCCACAGCCCGGCCCGGCCTGTTCCTGCTCCTCGCACCAAGCCTCCGGTGCACATCGCCAGCCCAGCCCGGCCTGTTCCTGCCACTCGCACCAAGCCTACGGTGCGCGTCGCCAGCCCGGCCCGGCCTGTTCCTGCCCCTCGCACCAAGCCTACAGTGCGCGTCGCCAGCCCGGCCCGGCCTGTTCCTGCCACTCGCACCAAGCCTACGGTGCGCGTCGCCAGCCCGGCACGGCCTGTTCCTGCCACTCGCACCAAGCCTACGGTGCGCGTCGCCAGCCCGGCCCGGCCCGGCCTGTTCCTGCCACTCGCACCAAGCCTACGGTGCGCGTCGCCAGCCCGGCCCGGCCTGTTCCTGCCACTCGCACCAAGCCTACGGTGCGCGTCGCCAGCCCGGCCCGGCCTGTTCCTGCCCCTCGCACCAAGCCTACGGTGCGCGTCGCCAGCCCGGCCCGGCCCGTTCCTGCGCCACGCACCATGCCAGGGGTGCGCATCGTCAGCCCGGTCCGGCCCGTTCCTGCTCCACGCACCAAGCCAGGGGTGCGCATCGTCAGCCCGGTACGGCCCGTTCCGGCTCCATGCACCAAGCCAGGGGTGCGCATCGTCAGCCCGGTCCGGCCCGTTGCTGCTCCACGCACCAAGCCAGGGGTGCGCATCGTCAGCCCGGTCCGGCCCGTTCCTGCGCCACGCACCATGCCAGGGGTGCGCATCATCAGCCCGGTCCGGCCCGTTCCTGCTCCACGCACTAAGCCAGGGGTGCGCATCGTCAGCCCGGTCCGGCCCGTTCCTGCTCCACGCACCAAGCCAGGGGTGCGCGTTGTCAGTCCGGCACAACCCGTGCCTGGGTCACCGGTGCCTGGTCAGGTACCGGTCAGCTGCTCCACACCGGAGCCTTAGCAATCCGCTTCTACGATGTCCAGTCCAGCTCCAGCCAGCGGGGCCAGACCGGACCAGGGGCGCCACGGGGGGATGGTTGAAGGGTGGTGGTCAAGCCCGGAGCCGGAACCGCCTCCGAGGAGGAATGCCCACCCAGCCCTCCCCTGGTTTGTTTATGTTTAGGCGCGGTCGCAGTCCGCGCCTTTAGGGGGGGGTACTGTCACACCCTGGCTCTGGGGACTCTATATGTTGAGCCAGGGTGTGTATATTCTATGTATTGTATTTCTGTGTTGGCCAGAGTGGTTCCCAATCAGAGGCAACGAGTGTCAGCTGTTGCTGGTTGTCTCTGATTGGGAGCCTTTTCTAGATTCTGATGAGGAGCTGCTGGATGATAAATACGACCTAGAGAAGGGTCTCATTTAGCAGGTAGATATACTGTCTGTACCTCTCAAACTAATGAGGCAAACTAATGAGGCATCTCTGGAGGGTGTGGCTCTATTGTCAAAAGGGTTTAGGAAGTAGCAGTTAGGCCCTACCTACCACATTTGATCAATAATTACATTGCTTGTCAATTCAATAAAGAATTACTGTGTATCTAGCTTTTTCTGTTTGTTATTGGTTTTACTCATCTTTGTGTTTTGTTTTTTGGATGAAAGTGAAAATATTATGATTAATTTATGTTAATGATTGTATTATATATAAGTTTTGTTTTTCATTTCATTGGATTTAAATAAAATGTAACATTTGCACACAATGTTAAAGGGCCTTCTTTGGGGAGTGTAGAGAAAATAAGCAATTAATAAGACATTTTGGTAGCACTTTACATTAAAGCACAGAATAAATGGTAATCACATGATAATAACGTGGAAACCTACGTCTACTGTATTTACTACTTCTCTGGGAAAATATGTGTTAAAAACAAATGCAAGAACCATAAGCTACCATTATGGAATCGTCTTGTCTGCCCATCGCTGTCATATTCTTGAATTTGATGGCAAGAGCCGAATCCACAAACAGAGCCGAAAACGGATCAAGACAAAAATGAATCATCCAGCAGCTTTGAATAACCAACTCATCACACACTTGAGCTGTGGTTATGCAGCTAGCTATATCTTGTTTCCAGTAACTACCGTTTCACATTTCCTTAGAAAACCAAAGAAACATGTTAACCACATTATCCCACCGCTATTGATTCTAGGCTCAACATCTGCGTCGGAACATGCACATTGAAGCAAACAGCTTGAAAACAGAGAATAGGTGATCTTACAATCTTATTGTTCCTCTTCTGATGGGATTATATCAAACACAATTTTCACAAATAAGAATAGATGATCTTATAGTAAAGAAATGCAATGTTTTGGGGGGTTTAAGTAGCCTTTATTCATACAAAACAGCACGGTACTGTAAAACAGTTTTTTACAATAATTTTGCAGAACCATTGTTGTTGTAACCTTTCGTTCACAAAGGCAGCGATTATTAAATCCATCCTCATCTGAAAGGATATGGTTATTTTGAGCAACTTGGTTAATTTGAGCAGGCTGTGTTGCTCAAAGAAAATGTCACTCTTCATAAAAGCTGTATCAATGTAAAAACAACAACATTGTATTAATGTAAGAAAGCACAAGTAAATGATTTCACGCATAGACCAATTTGTCTGCTCAATAAGCAATCAGCATTTAGTTCTTTAAAGCAAAAATAAAAGCTGGATTTTCTATTATTCATTGATCATTTAATTAAGATATGAAATACTACGTTAGAAAACTCTTATTTCTTGAGAGAAATTACACTTCAATACAAGAAAAGTTACTAAATATTATATTGGATAATGATACATATTTAGAACTCATGGGCCTACATATTTAATAATGACATATTTAGGTAAATATAATATTTAGGTAAATATTTTTGTATAAATTAAATACAGATGTTTTTTGAAAATAATTTAGGCCTACCAAAATGACATATTGCAGTGCAACTTTAATAACCAAGTCTAAATTAAAATAATAATTTATCTACCTTCAAGATTTGCTCTGCTTATTTATCAGAAAACGTAACCTTTATTCATGTGTCTGCAGTGGATAGCTACCACATAAGGAGGGAAACAATACACCATATACAAAATTTAACGTGATGCAATTAATGTCATATTTGGCAGTTGAAGCTATTGGAAGACATGGAAATCTATGGCTCACAATATTGTAGCATCTAAAAAATAAAGCAGGAAAAATAAAAGCAATACAAATGAAATGTTAGACCTCAATGGGATGTAAAATCCATGTTATTCCCAGCCCACTACAACTCTATCTATAACTCTATCCATACTGGGGTGGGGGATGGGGGTATCCTTTCAATGAATGTGTCTACAGGTGCTGGGTCCTCTTCTCACGCTCCTGTGGTGCAGCAGGACAGAGATCCCACAGCAGTACACCATGCTCTTCATTATCATCACTGTGTAAACCACAGAGGCCAGGTTCAGACTAAACGTTGACTGGAAGGAATCTGGGGAAGAGAAAAGAGTAATGATTTAATCTGATTGCTGGTTACAGGCATTGTGGTTTTTAAATACATTTTCCTATTAAGTCGACATATGCAACATTTACCGTGGATGGCATCTCGGCAAACACAGGAAATGTGCTGCAATTGTAGCATCTAAAACCATGAACAGATTATCTATCCGATCGCGTTTTGTTGGCAATACTCCACTTAGGGCGTTTAAGCAATACACATTTTTTTTATAAGTTCCATGCGACTCGCGCTGCAGCATCACAATACCTGGTACTCTGGTACTGGTTCTTTGACACGCTACTCACGCAGGTCCAGGAGTCGTTTCAGCAGTGGCATGTATTCATGGTGGCCAAGGGAAGTCAAATTATTTATTTTTCATCTTCCTCTGTTTCATAATTTTCAATTCTCAAGAGGCTGAATGTATCTCACATGAGAAAGCATCCGATCGAAACAGCGCCCCTCTGTCTCTCTACGTGTAGGCCATCTATTTGATGCTGTCTGGTCCAAACGAGTCTGACATTGTTGCCGCCCGTAGCATTGAAGGCAAGGGAAGCCAGCAGCATCTGGCCTCTCTTGACAAAAAAAGTATAAAAAATTAGCCAATCAGCATTGCGCTAAACTGAGCGAGCTAAACTGTGAATGGACCTGGCATACCAAAAAAAAAGTGTCAAGGGAAGCCAGCTTGGATTTTGCAACACTCCTATCAAATCCCATTGAGAGCATATGTCAATGACAGAAAAACTTGAATTGTTGCATCTTGTTGTGTTGTTGCCCTTTCCTAAATTAGCCATGGATGGAGATAGGGATTTGGATCTCTGTACTGGCCAATGATTATAACGGCGATTCTGATCCAACCATTAATTCAGACATTGTTGTGCCTCTAGCCTGAGAGGACGGAAGGTCAATATGTAGCTAGATGTAGAAGGCTAATGTTAACTAGCTAACGTTGCCCATGAATTAAAGTTAGGCTAGCGAGCAAGCATTTTAGCAGGTGGCCTAGGACAACAAAAAATAAAAGCATGCACTGTATGACAGAGTGATAGACCATTTCTCAACATGAAAGAGAGGAGGATGGCATTGGCGTTTCTCTACAAGTAGGGTGATCCAACATATTTTTCTACTTGCACGAACGCGCAGTAGAAAACAGAACCATAGACAGCCACATCATATTTAGCTTACGTTGATTGGACTAAATTGTTTTCGGTATCTTTTAGTTGTCACTGTATTAGACTAAGCAGAGGTGATTTGATGATGTTGAAAATGTTGAAGTTGAAATGGTGCTGGAATAGTGGAGGCAGATCCTGTTTTCTTTGCGACTTGCGGTAACTCTCTGTGGTTCTAAATCAATAGTTGTTTAGTGGTCCGAAGATTTCGGAAACATTAACTTGCTTGACCATGCTGTAGGTCATATAACTGTCTGTTACTATACATGCAATATGCTTTGTGGACTTCACTGGACAGAGGTTACATTCCGGTTTTGTGATTAAACAAAGATGTGGTTGAATTTATTCTGCCACTGTGTCATCTTATTGTCTCGGCCTTTAGGCCTATATATCACGGCCGCAAAGCATATGAATTAACAGGTTACAGAGCAAACAACGCAATTATCACAACACATAGGTTGTAATATGGAATTTGTTTGGGGGGTGGGGGGGGGCTTCCCCAGTGATTGTACCCACGCACCGCTACTGCCTTTCAGCCCGGGTTAGTTTTGCGTTTCACACATGCTTTATACTGGTGGTGTATGTACATAAGGTATTTCAGGTTTATATTTTTAATACATCTGCAAAAAAATTTAAAAAACTGTTTTCGCTTCGTCATTATGGGTATTATGTGTGGATTGATGGGGGGGGGGGGGGGGTTAATTTAATGAGTTTTAGAATTATGCTGTAACGTAACAAAATGTGGAAAAAGTCAAGGGGTCTGAATACTTTCCGAATGCACTGTATGTGAAAGCGCCCTTAAAGGTAATTTCCAATTGAGCAGACATAAGCAGCGTTTTACCGTGAATGTGTTCTCCAAAAGGTGCAATGGTGACAAAGCCCAATCGGATTTAATACCTGTCTAAATTTGTTCATTTATCCAACCACTTATATTTTCATTTCCTTTTTCTGTTTTTGAATTGACCCCAACCCTGCATGAAATACACATCAATTCTACCGTCGGTAAGATGCAGAGTCAGTGGCTCCTGCGTGTCATTTCTGAACAGACAGGTTGGTGCAGCCATGGTGGTTGGAGGAGCTTCAGTTGGTTTATCTGAGAATGAGATGGAAAAAGATTATATTAATAATATTTTCTCAGAGCATTATGTAGGCTTCTGTCGGTATTAATTGTTAAGCAAAAAAAGGCTGTTTTGTTTAAACTTGGGAGACTAAATACATTTTAGCAGACGCTCTTATCCAGAGCGACTTACAGTTAGTGCATACATTATTTATTTTTTCATACTGACCCCCCGTGGGAATCGAACCCACAACCCTGGCATTGCAAACGACATGCTCTACCAACTGAGCTACATCCCTGCCAGCCATTCCCTCCCCTACCCTGGACAACGCTGGGCCAATTGTGCGCCGCCCCATGGGTCTCCCGGTCGCAGCCGGCTACGACAGAGCCTGGATTCAAACCAGGATCTCTAGTGGCACAGCTAGCGCTGCGATGCAGTGCCTTAGACCACTGCGCCACTCGGGAGATGGCTGGAAATACACTCGGGAAATACACAGCATTCCTACGCAATTACCAAGTGTGAGTCCAATTGTTATGGACTTTGTTTTTTTCTTGGAAAAGGTAATAGGCCTATGTCCTTTTTACAAGGTTGAATACATGATAACCTACTCATATAAATATATTACATACATATTAAATTAGTAATGATGTATGAAAAAAAGAATAGGCCTACATACTACTGAAAAACTTTTTAGATGACTGGCTTTACCTTTTGGTATCTCAACATCTTTGGGGCCCCCTTCATGCTCCACAGAACAGATGTATTTGTTCCTGTACGTCTTCTCTTTATCAATGATGATCATACTGGTCGTCTGTCCTTCCTCCCTCTGCTCCAGCACTTCCCTCTCTGCTTTGGGCACCTCCACTGTTCGGCCGTTTGCATCCTCCATCTTCCATGAAATCTTGACCAAGTCTGGAAACATGTTTCTAGCCAGACATAGCAGGGTGGTCTTCCCATTCGAATCAGGGTTGGACGCTGGGTAGACCGTCACTTTGGGTTCAAGTACGTGATTGTTGTCTGATTCTCAAGAGAAACAATAACATTTACAGTCTTCTTTAAAGGGACATCACACACAAGTTTTCAGACTTCAGATATAGTCTGTTGTCAAGATGAATCGTGATGTCCCACACCATTTGTTTCATATCCAGCTTTAATTACATACATAAATGAACTACATGTACCATTTTTTTTACCCATAACAACTGTCCTTTATGGAATGTCTTATTTCAACATAATGTAAATCATAACTTTCAATGTCATTTAAATCAAAAGATTCTTAGCTCAGTAAACAGTTCAACAAATTACTTTAAATGTATATCACAAATAACTGAGGGTGTATATCTCTAAGACTAAGGACATGCAATATATTGCAAATTGTGCATATGGCTTCCTTGAAAATCAGAATGATCAATTGTACATGCTAATAACAAACTTTTAAAGTCATAATGAATAATACAATGAATAATGCAAATTTCCAGAGCAATACTGCAGGATGTTTTCTCAATTATTTTGGAAAGTGATTAGACAAATATATGAATTATTAAGGACTACTGCTTTGTTTACCTGCCGAAAATCAGAAGAATGGATCTCTTACCTGTCACATAAAGTCTTGTGCCAGAGCCAAATACAACTGCCATACACAGTGAAAATTCCCTTGTCAAAAAGTAGTCTACACTGTGTCTTGGCAGAGCTTGTGTTAACTATACAAAGGTTCAGGGCCCTCATGCACACCAAATATCTGAGGGGGCACACTCAAAACATGCTTCATTCTACAGTATGTCAAGAAATATGTATATTTTTATGCATATCTAAGCATACCTCTTGAGCTTAAAAAATATATCTGAGGGGGCACGCACGCTTACGCACACACATACACGCAGGCACACACACACACAAAGAATGAGTTGGAACATGAAGCCTACTGCCAAAGTTTTAAATTAACTTTGGTGCTCCCAACTTACAAAAGTTAGTAGCACAACATAAACATTAGGAGCACCATGAATAAATATTTTTTTAATCGATTGCGATATAGCCTATATTTCTGAAGTACACGTTGTGTCATAGAAACTAATATGTAACACTGTAAAGACGTGTTTATTATAAAAAGCTAAAATGTTGATACAAATACCTGTTATTGAAATTACAAAGTTATTTGTGGAATATTAGGTTTCTACATTGTATAAAATCACTTTTTTTTCAAACCAGCTTAGGCCTACTGCTGTGCTATGTCACATGGTAATGCACATTTCCAACAACAACAAAAAGTATGTTAATTTGTGTTAAGATAATAATGAAAATGTATGATGTAAATTATCACTGACTTGGGGTAGGAAACAAGAGAGTCCTGACCTGCATTTCATTCCAATAAGTTGGCCCTCTGTTACTCCTCCTTGCAGATCTGAGACAACTGGATAGGTGTAAGAAACAGCTCCCAATTTCTGTCATGTCTCTTTCACCTCTCTCTCTTCTGGTACCAGTAGAATATGTTAGCCCTACACTGGCTGACAACTTTGCAGTTGAAGGAGACACTCTTTCCCTCACTCCTATTATTAATTATTAATCATCACCCCCATATGCCATTTTTTAAAACCTCTTAAGGATCGGACCCTTTTTTTCAATTTTTGCCTAAAATGACATACCCATATCTAACTGCCTGTAGCTCAGGACCTGAAGAAAGGATATGCATATTATTGATACCATTTGAAAAGAAACACTTTGAAGTGTGTGGAAATGTGAAAATAATGTAGGAGAATATAACACATTAGATCTGGTAAAAGATAATACAAACAAAAAAACGTATTAAAAAAAACAAACATTGTTCCATCATCTTTGAAATGCAAGAGAAAGGATCCTGAGTGGTGCAGCAGTCTAAGGCACTGCATCTCAGTGCTTGAGGCGTCACTACAGACCCTGGTTCGATTCCAGGCTGTATAACAATCCGGCCGTGATTGGGAGTCCCATAGGGTGGCGCATAATTGGCCCAGCGTCGTCCAGGTTTGGCCGGGGTAGGCCGTCATTGAAAAAAATAATTTGTTCTTAACTGACTTGCCTAGTTAAATAAAGGTAAAAAAATATATATATATATATACAGTGGGGAAAAAAAGTATTTAGTCAGCCACCAATTGTGCAAGTTCTCCCACTTAAAAAGATGAGAGATGCCTGTAATTTTCATCATAGGTACACGTCAACTATGACAGACAAATTGAGGAAAAAAAATCCAGAAAATCACATTGTAGGATTTTTTATGAATTTATTTTGAATCAAATCAAATCAAATTTTATTGGCCACATGCGCAGAATACATGTCAGGAATAGCTGAATGTGGATGTGGTGCAGGAATCAGGCGCAGGACACAGAAGCTTCGTCCAACACACTTTAGTAGACGACCAAGCAAATACAAACGGGCCTCAAAAGAGCCCGGAAGCGAGCGATTACGCACATCGTGCGTAAACACCGAAATACAAAATAAGTGCGCACACAAGTGTGAAACTCTCCAAAACAATGGAGCAAAACCAATAGAGCACCTGCTGACAGGCGGACAATTACACACAACACACGACTAACAAAACGAGAACTTATAGGACACATAATTAAAACTGAACGGAAACAGGTGTACAACTAAGACAGAACCAAACAAACATCGATAACATACAACGGTGGCAGCTAGTACTCCGGGGACGACGACCGCCGAAGCCTGCCCGAACAAGGAGGAGGAGCAGCCTCGGCCGAAACCATGACAGTACCCCCCCGTTGACGCGCGGCCCCATCGTGCGCCGACCCCGGCCTCGGGGACGACCAGGAGGACGCGGAGCAGGGCGCATGGAATGACCACGGTGGAACTCAGTCAGGAGAGACGGGTCCAAGATGTCCCTCCTCGGCACCCAGCACCGTTCCTCCGGGCCGTACCCCTCCCACTCCACGAGATATTGGAGACCCCCCATCCGACGTCTCGAATCCAAGATGGACCGAACTGTGTACGCCGGAGCCCCCTCGATGTCCAATGGGGGCAGAGGAGTCTCTCCTATCTCACAGTCCTGGAGTGGACCAGCTACCACCGGCCTGAGAAGAGACACATGGAACGAAGGGTTAACATGATAATCAAAAGGCAGTTGTAACCTGTAACACACCTCGTTCAATCTCCTCAGGACTTTAAAAGGCCCCACAAACCGCCGACCCAGCTTCCGGCAGGGCAGGCGGAGAGGTAGGTTTCTGGTCGAGAGCCAGACTCGATCTCCAGATGCGTACACCGGCCCCTCACTGCGGTGGAGATCGGCGCTCGCCTTTTGTCGACGGATGGCCCGCTGCAGATGGACGTGTGCAGCGTCCCACGTCTCCTCCGAGCGCCGCACCCACTCATCCACCGCAGGGGCCTCGATCTGGCTCTGATGCCATGATGCCAGAGCCGGCTGGTACCCTAACACACATTGGAAAGGGGTTAGGTTGGTGGAGGAGTGGCGGAGAGTGTTCTGTGCCATCTCTGCCCAGGGAATATACCTCGCCCACTCCTCCAGCTGGCCCTGGCAATACGACTTCAGAAACCTACCCACATCCTGGTTCACTCGTTCTACCTGCCCATTGCTCTCCGGGTGGTACCCTGAGGTAAGGCTCACCGAGACCCCCAAGCGCTCCATGAACGCTCTCCAGACTCGGGAGGTGAACTGGGGACCTTGATCAGACACTGTATCCTTGGGTACACCGTAATGCCGGAAGACGTGGGTGAATAGTGCCTCAGCGGTCTGTAGGGCAGTAGGAAGACCCGGCATTGGGAGGAGACGACAGGCCTTAGAGAACCGATCCACAATGACCAGTATGGTGGTATTCCCCTGAGAGGGGGGAAGGTCTGTAACAAAATCCACCGAGAGGTGAGACCAGGGTCGTTGTGGAACGGGCAGGGGTTGTAACTTCCCCCTGGGCAGGTGTCTGGGCGCCTTACACTGGGCGCACACCGAGCAGGAGGAGACATAAACCCTCACATCCCTGGCTAACGTTGGCCACCAGTACTTAGCGCTAAGGCAGTGCACTGTCCGGCCAATATCTGGATGTCCAGAGGAGGGTGACGTGTGAGCCCAATATATAAGTCGATCCCGAACCTCGAGCGGAACGTACTTCCGACCCACAGGACACTGTGGAGGGCTAGGGTCGGTACGCAACGCCCGCTCGATTTCAGCATCGACCTCCCACACCACCGGTGCCACCAGACAAGACTCCGGTAGTATGGGAGTGGGCTCAACGGACCTCTCCTCTGTGTCATACCGCCGGGACAGGGCGTCTGCCTTACCGTTCTGGGACCCAGGGATGTACGTGATTTTAAATACGAACCGGGCTAGAAACATGTTCCACCGAGCCTGGCGAGGGTTCAGTCTCCTAGCTGCCCGGATGTACTCCAGGTTACGGTGGTCAGTCAAAATGAGGAAAGGGTGTTGAGCCCCCTCAAGCCAATGCCTCCACACCTTTAGGGCCTGTACCATGGCTAACAGCTCCCTGTCCCCTACGTCATAATTTCGCTCCGCCGGGCTGAGCTTCTTGGAGTAAAAAGCACAGGGGCGGAGTTTAGGTGGCGTGCCGGACCGTTGCGATAGCACGGCCCCTATACCGGCCTCAGACGCGTCCACCTCTACCTGAAATGGTAAAGCGGGATCCGGATGCGCCAGCACCGGAGCCGAAGTAAACAGGCCCTTCAGTCTCCCAAACGCCCTGTCCGCCTCAGCTGACCACTGCAAGCGCACCGGACCCCCCTTCAGAAGAGACGTTATGGGAGCTGCCACCTGTCCAAAACCCCGGATAAACCTCCGGTAGTATTTCGCAAAACCCAAGAACTGCTGCACCTCTTTAACCGTGGTTGGGGTTTGCCAATTACGCACGGCTGACACACGGTCAACCTCCATCTTCACCCCTGACGCGGACAACTGATAACCCAAAAGGAGATAGACTCCTGGAAAAAACAGACATTTCTCTGCCTTGACATACAGGTCATGCTCCAGCAGCCTCCTCAACACTCGGCGCACCAGCGCTACATGCTCGGCTCGGGTAGACGAGTACACTAGAATGTCGTCTATATACACGACCACACCTTGCCCCTGCATGTCCCGGAAGATCTCATCCACAAAGGATTGGAAGACTGAAGGAGCATTCATCAACCCGTATGGCATGACGAGATACTCGTAATGACCCGAGGTGGTACTAAATGCTGTCTTCCATTCATCACCCTCCCTAATGCGCACCAAGTTGTAGGCGCTCCTGAGATCCAGTTTTGTGAAGAAACGCGCTCCGTGTAATGACTCCGTCATAGTCGCAATGAGAGGGAGTGGATAACTGTATTTCACAGTGATCTGATTGAGACTACGGTAATCAATACACGGGCGCAATCCTCCATCCTTTTTCTTCACAAAAAAGAAGCTCGAGGACGCAGGGGAAGTGGAGGGCCGTATGTATCCTTGTCTCAGAGATTCGGCTATGTATGTCTCCATAGCCCCCTTCTCCTCTTGAGACAGAGGATACACATGGCTCCGCGGAAGCACTGCTCCTGCCTGGAGGTCTATCGCACAATCCCCCTGTCTATGAGGTGGCAATCGCGTCGCCCTCGCCTTGCTAAACACGAGTGCTATCTCCTCATACTCGGGGGGAATGTGCATTGCGGGCACTTGGTTCGGACTCTCCACCGAGGTCGCCCCCATGGAAACACCCAGA